CAGGCGCTGGACTCCTACATGATCCACTGGGGTTTGAGCACCGGACCCAGAGGCTTGAAATACACCAAGCATGTATGTATGCATGCCCAATATCCCGAGAGGAGAATGGAGAAGTGATTGTGGTGTGGCCAACCCCCCAGGGGGGTGATTTCTAGCTTTCTGTCTCTCTGTATCTGTCTCTCTGGTAAGTGCACATGCCCTAGAGCAACAATATCTCAAAAAAAAAATAGATAAGAAATAAAATCACGCCAGGGCACGAGCGTGCGTGCCCAAAATCCCAACAGGAAACTGGAGGAGGAGAAGGAATTGCAGCGTGGCCATCCTCCCTGGAGGGTGACTTCTCTCTCTCCCTCTCTGTTTACCTCTGGCCAGTGCACAGGCCCTGTAGCAAAAACTAAAACAAACAAACCTAAGTAAATAACGGCTGTTAGAAAAGTCTGACATGTCCTGAAACATTGTATTTGGACTCAGAGGTCCTCCCAGGACAAGAAAGAAGTTCTTGAGTATTTGCTGACACTGGTTCCGGGGGGCTGTGTCTTTTCTGCTTCCTTTAGGCATTCCCAGTGTCCGGCAAGGCAGGCCTGGGTATTGAGGAGGCTGAGACCCAGGGATCTGGAGACGTAGCTGCCCCAGCCAGACTTCGAGAAGTGGCTCCCACATCCCTGATCATGGGGAGCCTGGGCTTTGTTGGTCAGTCCCTTACAGTCCTGGAGGGGGGCAGAGCCTGGACCACTGCTGCCCCCCTCTCCACCTGTGTGCAGGGGAGGACATCCAGGCCCAGGGAGGTCTTTTTTTTTTTTTTTGAGAGATTTTCACTATAGGGCCCGTGCGCTCGCCAGACAGAGAGAGAGAGAGAGGGAGACAGAAAGTGAGAAATCCCCCCCCCCCACCACCACCAGGGGAATGGCCACACCGCAATCCCTTCTCTATTCTCCTCTCGGGATCTTGGGCACGCACGCACACGCACCCGACGTGAGTTTAAGCCGCCGGGTCCGGGACTCCAACAGTGGTTGACTACATGAGAGTCCAGCGACTTAGCCATTATGCCAACTGCTGGCCCCTTGGCATTCTGAAAGAGGTCTCCAGAATCAGATCCAGAACCTTCGCACATGAGCTGGGCTCACGGACCATTTTACCGCTGCCCCAGCCAGCCTCGGCTCTGGAGCAAGACCAGTCAAGACCTCCCTGGGCCTCAGATTCCTCATCTGTTCACAGGTGGAGAGGGGAGCAGTGGTGGTGTGGGATCCGCTCCCCTCCAGGACTGTAAGGGACTGACCAACAAAGCCCAGGCTGCCCCCATGGGACCCACTCTCTTGCCGCTCTCCATCTGGTCCTCGTCCCGACCTCTCTGACCTTGGACAAGCCCCTTAACCTCTTCCTGCCTCGGTTGACTTACCTGGAAAACAGAGGTGGTCACAGCACCTACACCCTTCGAATGCAAAGAGAATTCTTTTATTTTGAGAGGTTTTTGCTACAGGGTGTGTGCACTCGCCAGACAGAGAGAGACAGAGAGACAGAAAGCGAGAAATCACACCCACAGGGGGGGATAACGCCGCAATCCCTTCTCCATTCTCCTCTTGGGATCTTGGGCACGCATGCACACGCACCCGGCGTGAGTTTAAGCCACCGGGTCCAGGACTTGAACCGCAGTCTACTACATGGGAGTCCAGCGACATAGTCATTATGCTAACTGCTGGTCTCAAAAGAGAATTAAAGGCTGTAAAGCCATTAGAACAGAACCAGGCAGAGGGAGAAGCTACTGCATGTCTTGTTAAATAAATACATGGCTTCCGCTCCGCCTAATCCCTGAGGTTGGGCTCCTGCCATTGCCACCCAGAGAGCACTGGGCGGAGGCGCTGCTGGCATTGAAGTGCGCCTTGCCCTGCCCCGGCCCCCACCCCACGCGGCAGGCATGTCCCAAACTTTATGTCACCCACACTCTCGCTGGATAAGGAGAAGTTCAGTGTACCCAGCTCCCAAGATGAGGGAACAGGCTCAGAGGGCCACATCGCTACTGAGTGACAAGGCCAAGGACAAGCCAAGCCTGTCGCCTCCAAGACTGGGCCCGTGTGACAACAAGCTTGCAGAAGGCCTGGCTGTTTCCTCCTCTAGGGGCTGACGCTGCCCCTCCAGGCTCTGCCCCACCGGCCGTGAAGCACACGTCGCCCCTTCCTGGAGCCCTGCGTTCCTGTCTGAAGAGCAGCCTCACCTGGGGGCGTGAAGCCAGGCCCTGAGGGTCTGGAGAGGGTCTGCGGATATCTGCCTGGCAACGAGACCCACCTTCCACACGTCTCTTGAGCTGTTTCAGGCTCCGACGTGGTTATTGCCCGGCGCGCCTCGGTGCAAGAGGTGGAGTGATCAAGACCCTCCGCTGCTGCTTGGATTTTCCAGGACCTCGCCTGGGACACCTGGCTTGGGACCTCACGCACCATCCTGGTAGGGATCTCTCTGAGCAGCGGTATCTGAGGGTTTGTGGGAGGCTTCAGGCCAGCAGTGGGCAGGGAGTGAGGAGGGCAGGAGGGTTGCAAAGAGCTTGGTATTTCTCCAACAAAGAGCTGCAGGGAGAACTCAGCCACTGCTGCGTGTGACAGGTTTATCAGGCTGTCGGGCCCAGGATGAGCTTTCCCATCTTTCTCCATGCTACTGGCCCCTTCCCTCTCCCTGCTCTGCCACCCTCCTAGGAGACTGAACACCATGTTCCAGAGCGGAGAAAGCACTTCCGCGGTTTCCGGCCTGTGTCTTTCTTTCTTTCTTTCTTTCTTTCTCTTTCTTTCTTTCTTTCTTTCTTTCTTTCTTTCTTTCTTTCTTTATTTTGGAGAGGTTTTTGCTATAGGGCACGTGCGCTCGCCAGACAGACAGAGACAGAGAGATAGAAAGCAAGAAATCACCCCCCAGGGGGAATGGCCACACCACAGTCCCTTCTCCTCCATTCTCCTGTCGGGATCTTGGGCACACACGCACACACACCCGGCGTGAGTTTAAGCCACTGGGTCCGGGACTCGAACCAAGGTCGACTACATGGGAGTCCAACGACATAGCCATTATGCTAACTGCTGGTCCTTCATTTTATTTTTTTAATTTTTATTATTATTATTATTTTTGGATCTGGCCCGTGTCTTTAAAGCTAGAAAGGGTGGCTGCAGGTGGCATGGGGGTAAA